TTTGTAGTGGCAGATGTTGGCTACATTTTAATGCAAACCCCAGACCCGTATCATGAAATTTGGGGGAGAAATCTGTGACAGACGGTGACCTACTTGTCGATCCTTATTATATGAACAACTCTTGAATAGCCCAATATTTTGGGCTGAAATTTGTATTCTAAGCTTGCTAGATTTAGACACATATCTCCTGAAAATTTCAGCAAGGTCGGTTGTTCTTGGACAAAAGTAGATTTTTAGCATAGGGGTGGATCTTAAAATTAAGTTGATTGAATTTCTATATTCGGTGTTCTATTAATGTTTTAATAAAACATCAATTGAGGGTGTGGGCCAGTGTGGGGTGTGGCTGTGCAGAACGAAACCTACAGCTACACCCACTCTAGAAAAAGTAAAGGTTCCATACGGAATCGAAAATGGTTTCGTGGAACGTATGGAGCTTAAAAAGAGGTTTCGAACTTTGAAACGATATCGAAACCTTTATTAAAGTTTTCTAGAACCNGATAATCATTTTCAAGGGGTCTTGGATTCGTACGAAACCTTCAACAAGGTTTTGATTTCGTTGCAAAAGTAGATGGAATGGAACCTTTTTGTTTTAGTGCACATACTCACATCCCACATTCTCGCTTAAAATTAAAAGCAAGTAGAAAATAAACTTTTGTTTTGGGTCAAGTATTTATCGAAGAAGACTGGGAGTAGGTCTCCTATTGTAGCAAAACACTGACTGCATGGGTTTGGCTGTGGAGGAAGAAACCTACACTGACATGAGCCCACATACCCACACCCACGCTCACACGACATCCTACAACATTGCAAGAATACAAAATTCTCATCGAGTCCCACTAGAAACGCAAAAAATTTGCCCACATTGTGAATGAAAATGACGATCGCCACCTTCTCTAGTTGGGACACACTTGATAACACATTAATTAGAAAAGCAGCTAGATGACAATAAATTCTGCATCTGAGCGAAACTCTTCTCCATTCGAGCGGTAAGTTTTGTAAGAAGAACAGCAAGCTGTTATGCTTTTTCTATGGCAGTTTTTGATTTCTCTTTCTTTTGGAGTGCATCTAGAATAGTGTTTACTTTTCATCATAAAAATATTATCTTTTCTAATGGAACTTTCTTAAAAAGGTATAACACATAGTTTTTTTTAGAGAATTATCTCTTCGAAATGACTTCCTCCACATGCATCAAGGCGGTTTTCGCGACAAGCATAGTTTTTGGTGTTCTATCGCTGACAGGTCTTATTACACTAATTGTAGTTTGGCAAACAAAATTGACACCGTTTCAAGATTATGCCGTTGTGATCGATGCTGGATCGACTCATTCGACAATCTTTATTTATGAGTAAGATATTGCTGCCATTATGATTTCTATTCGCTTCCACTTTCAGTCGTATAGTTGGCCGGCAGATAAATCAGATGGCATAGGAAACACTTCCCGTGTTAATCAAACAAAAGTTTGTAGTGTGGTGGGTGGGGCAATTTCTAGTATAAAGAACCCAAGTGAGATCAGTGTCAAAGAATATTTTAATGCGGCGATGACAGATTGCATCAGCGTGATACCATCGACACGCAAAGATCGAGCACCGATTTATCTGGGTGAGTCATACAGTTAGTCGCTGAATTCACGGGATATGCTTCACACATTTTTGTGCAGGTGCTACTGCTGGCCTTCGTTTATTCAACATTACAGATCCAACTTATATTCAGAGCTTACTTAACGCAACACGTATGTATTTTGCTTCTTTGGGACTCCATTTTGCTGCTTCAGAATATCAAGTTCGAATTATAAGTGGCAGCGAAGAAGGTTTGTCTGGCTGGATTACAGCCAATCTTCTTCTTCGTCAACTGTATGTCAACAATAACCCTTCGGAAACATATGGCATCTCCGATATAGGTGGTAAGTAAGATGAAAATCTAGTTCATTATTCACTCTGCTACTCGATCAACAGGAGCAAGCACGCAAATCAGTTTTGTTTCTCCGAGTGCTACAAATGATAAATACATGATGGATCTTTTCAAAACTAATTATTCTGTCTACTCTCATTCTTATCTGTGTTATGGAACCGAACAAATGCGTCTAGTCTATCTTAAGCAATTGATCAAGCAAGTCAATCAATCATTGACAATCGATGATCCGTGTTTACAGGCGGGTTATTTCGAAAATATGAGTCACAGTGCACTCTTTAGTACGCCATGTATCCGTGATCAATACACTCCCCCTAGCTGGCTGAATTCGTCGTACACATACACCTTCAGGTGAGATGACACAGGTGAATTTTTCTAGACAAACAAATTCGAAGCCTTTGTCAATCTTAGAACACAAGACATGATTGTTCATAGCTCGTGTGATAATATAGCTCAAACAAAATGCGAAACGTTGCAGAAGATTATATTTGATACCATACGCAGGACCATCTCTCATTTTGCTCAACATTGTCTTTTGTCTATTCATTTTATAGAGGGACAGGCAATGCAACAGCCTGTTCTCTAACAGTGCAAGATCTTTTCAACAAATCTTCTTGTTCATGGTCGAGTTGCGGCTGGAATGACGTCTATCAACCTGTTCCGATACCAAATACACTTCGATTCATAGCTATGTCAGGGTGGTATTACACATTTAATTCTCTTGCACCTCGTGTACCTGTACAGCAAAACGATCAGAACAACTACGAATTCGGCTCGACGAACTTAGCTCAAATTGAAACAGCTATCAACATGGTTTGCAACGAACCATGGTCATCGGTATTCAGCCCAGACAAATTTCGACCAGGTAATTGAAAATTACCAATAAAATCTGGAATCGGTCAAAACAGTAATTTTCTTGTAGTTCTATGTTTCAATTCGATGTATCATTGGACACTTTTCAAATACGGATATTCCATGACCGATGAAAATTTGAAAAATTTTCAAATCGTTCGGACGATTAATTCGCAGGAAATCGGTTGGGCAATGGGCTATATGATTAATCAGACCAACTATCTCGATCCACAATATCGACCGACACGCCGATTAACTAAAAGCGAATTTGTTGGGTTACTCATCTTCTGTATCATGGTGTTAACTGCCAGCGTAATAGCAACGATTGTCTCTGTTAAACTACTTGGAAATCATATCTGTAAGGCATAATGTCGTTTTCACTTTTGAAAAAATGAAAATAAACATATTCACTGCTTGCCATACCGATTGACAAAAATCTTTGAACTCATGTATCCTTGAGTGGCGCCGATCTTAGATTATGATTATTCAAAGAATTACTGAAAAATAAGAACAGAAAACCATGATGCATTCTTCTTTTATCAAAGATCAGAATATCGAATGTGTGGCTGTTTATGTGGTTGTGTTTATGGATTGAAGTGAATATCAATGAGGGTGTTGGTTTGAATCGAATGCCTACAGTCACACCATCACATCCATCCATAACCACACTAACACTACACTGTTGCTGCAAAGTTGGGGTGTGGGTGTGGACGTGACTTTAGCTATTCATCTCACCCACACCCACACTCACACCTACACTCTCCATTACCTCCTATACCTCCATCACCTGAAACTCGTACAAGCTTCTGGGCATTCGAATGAATTTCTTGAATATTCAAATAAGGCATCATACGAAAGGCATTCTTTTTATTGTCATTGTTCTTTTCTATACTTCTTTTCTTCATTGAATACATTACCAAATCAAAATAAAATACTTATAGACAATAAAGGAAAAAAGAGAGACGAAACATGCGTGCACATATTTTATGTCTTTCGTTGAAAATAGTTCAACTGTCAAAGGCAGCGACAACAGGGTGTGAGTGTGAATGTGGGTGTAGACGTTCCCATACTCTCTAGTCTGCCTCCGCCCATACCCACACCTACTCCCACAGCCTCTTGAAGTTGGGTACATGAGTTTTTGGAAAGAATTTCGCAAAAGAATACTTACAAAGTGAGCAGAAAACATCAGCACTTCGCACAGGATTCGAATCTGTGCTGTGTTTGTGGCATTGTCGTTAATCACTCGGCTAAATGCAAAGTGTGCTCACGTGAACTACATTTAGACGACCCCACATCTGATAGAACGGCTGATAAGGAACAATGAAAGGTATAAAACCGTTGATAAACTGTGATTAGTACGATGCGCATTTATTAGGCCACGTAAAACGGCTCAATAATGCGAGAAACGATGATCGTTAATGGTGGTCGTTTCTGCATTGCCGTAAACGTCGGTGTTAGTGATGGCCGATTTTCTCGTTCACCCACCGTTATTCAAA